GGGTTTAGAGGAGGGTTTAGAGGGGTTTAGGAGGGGGTTTAAAGGGGACAAAAAGGAGACAAAAAGGAGGTTTTGAGGAGACAAGAGACAGCCACCCACGCTGGGCTGGCCCCAAACAAACAACAAATCGCTGAAAAGGGGCCAAAAAGGAGATAAAAAAGAAAAAAAAAGAAAAAAAAAGAGACAAAAAAAGAGACAAAAAAGGGACAAAAAAGGGACAAAAAGGAGACAATTGGAGGGTTTAAATGAGGGTTTAGAGAGGGTTTAGATGGGGGGTTTAGGGGGTTTAGAAGGGGGTTTAACGGAGACAAAAAGGAGACAAAAAGGAGAGAAAAAGGAGACAAAAAGGAGACAAAAAGGAGACAAAAAGGAGACAAAATGGAATCCCCGGCTGGCCCCACACAAACAACAAATGGCTGAAAAAGAGAAACAAAAAGAGTTTGAAAAAGAGACAGGTCGAGGGTTTAGAAAGGGTTTAGATGAGGGTTTAGGGTTTAGGGTTTAGATGAGGGTTTAGGGTTTAGATGAGGGTTTAGGAAGGGTTTAGATGAGGGTTTAGATGAGGGTTTAAGGGGGTTTATGAGAGGTTTTAAATGAGATAAAAAAGAGACAAATGGAGATTTGAAGGAGACAAAAAGAGACAGAGTTTGGAAGGAGACAAAAAAGGAGACAAAAAAGGAGACAAAAAAGGAGACAAAAGAGGATATCAAAAGGGACAAAAAGAGGGTTTTAAAAGGGTTTTAAAAGGGTTTTAAAAGGGTTTTAAAAGGGTTTTAAAAGGGTTTTAAAAGGGTTTAAAAGAGGTTTTAAAAGGATTTTAAAAGGGTTTTAAAAGGGTTTTAAAGAGGTTTTAAAGGGGTTTTAGTTTTAAAGGGGTTTTAAAAGAGGTTTTAAAAGGGTTTTAAAAGGGTTTTAAAAGGGTTTTAAAAAGGGTTTAAAAAGGGTTTTAAAAGGGGTTCAAAGGAGACAATTAAAACAACAAAAAGGAGACAATTAAATCAATTAAAAGGAGATAATTTAATCAATTAAAAGAGGGCAATTAAATCAATTAAAAGGAGACAATTAAATCAATTAGAAGGACACAATTAAATCAATTAGAAGGATAAAATTAAAACAATTAAAAGGGACAATTAAATAAATATAAAATTAGAACAATTAAAAGGAGACAATTAAAACAACAAAAAGGAGACAATTAAATCAATTAAAAGGAACAATTAAACAAATGAAAAGGGACAATTAAATAAATTAAAAGGGAGAATTAAAACAATTAAAAGGAGACAATTAAAAGAAAAAGAAGAAAATTAAAAGTTTTACCCTTGTTGTTGGCTAACTAAAAAAGTTAAAAAGAGACAGAAAAAGACAACAAAAAGGAGACAATTAAAACAACAAAATGGAGACAATTAAATAAATTGAAAGGAGACAATTAAATCAAACAATTAAATCAATTAAAGGAGACAAATAAAATAAAATAAAATAAAAATACCCTTGTTGTTGGCTAACTAAATAAGTACAAGAGCCTCCAGTGCCCAGCAAAAAGCCCTGGCTTTGGCAGCCAAATTCGGAGCAGCAAAGAGGGGGAATTTCCTCGCTTGGAAGCTGCAGCAGCAGCAGCAGCAACAGCATAGCAGCAGCAGCAGCATAGCAGCAGCAGCATAGCAGCAGCAGCATAGCAGCAGCAGCATAGCAGCAGCATAGCAGCAGCAGCGGCATAGCAGCAGCAGCAGCATAGCAGCAGCAGCAGCATAGCAGCAGCAGATCAGCAGCAGCAGTATAGCAGCAGCAGCAGCATAGCAGCAGCATAGCAGCAGCAGCAGCACAGCAGCAGCAGCAGCATAGGAGCAGCAGGAGCATAGCAGCAGCAGCAGCAGCAACCCTCGCCGGCAACCCCCGGAGCGGAGGGGCGGGTTGGGCGTAAACCCTAAACCCTAAAAAGGGGTTTCGGACCTCGACCCAGAGTCCCTCTTCGAGGCTGAGTTTGTGTTGAGTGTCCAAAAAAAGCGAAAAAGGAGACAAATTGACCAGCCGAATTAACAGCGAGCGATGGGCCCTTCGGAGTCTCCTTTTCCACTCCACGTTTCTCACGTTGAAGCAAAAGTGCAGCGGAATTAAAGGATTTAAAGTGCAAAAGTCGAAAAACCACTGAGACAACAAAGATCCCGGGTACCTTTCCAGCGCCAGGTGCAGCTCTTCGCGGCATTCTGCGCAAAATATAAATCCAATTAATTAATTAATTAATTAATTAATTAATTGTTTATTTATTTCTCTTTTTTTCAGCTTTTTTGGAGCCATTTTGATGCAGAAATGATGAAAAAACACCAAAGGATTTAAAGTGCAAAAGTCGAAAAACCACTGAGACAAAAGCGATCCCGGGTATCTTTCCAGCGCCAGGTGCAGCTCTTCGCGGCATTCTGCGCAAAATATAAATCAAATTTATTTGTTTATTTATTTATTTATTTATTTATTTATTTATTTATTTATTTATTTATTTATTTCTCTTTTTTCCACTTTTTTTGGACCCAATTTGATGAAAAAATCACAAAAAAAGGACAAGTACTTGAAGTGCAAAAGCCACAAAGCCACAGACGGAAGGAGACACTAACCCTAAACCCTAAACCCTAAACCCTAAACCCTAAACCCTAAACCCTTGACATTAAAAGATCCTGAAGGTTTGGGGATTTACTCTTCAGGTAGGCAGTCCCCTCTGGCGTCTCTCTCACAGTGACGACGAACTGCACACAAAAACGCGTAAACCCTAAACCCTAAACCCTAAACCCTAAACCCTAAACCCTAAACCATCAGGCGTCTCTATATATTATTGTCATTGTGGCAGGAAGGAGACAAAAGAACCACAGGACAAACAGACCCTAAACCCTAAACCCTCAAGCCCAGAAACAAGCTAACCATGCAGCGCCGCGCCTTCCCACAAACCCTAAACCCTAAACCCTAAACCCTAAACCCTAAACCCTAGACATACGTTGCTGAAGACGGAAGCGTCAGCAGAAAAAGATAAATCAAACAGAGTCTTCGCTTCAGGTAAACCCTGGGCGCGAGAATCCACGTTGCAGCCCATTGCGCTCACGTGCCTGCCACGCAAACCCTAAACCCTAAACCCTAAACCCTAAACCCTAAACCCTAAACCCTAAACACTGGAGCCCGCATGGGTAGTGCAAAGTTCGCACAGGTGGGACTCATGCACGAGGAACTGGGGTACGTGATGCTACGCAGCCGCCGTAAACCCTAAACCCTAAACCCTAAACCCTAAACCCTAAACCCTAAACCCTCGCACTTGTTCTCGCCGAGCACAGGGATTTCGAACTCTGAGCAAATGATGTACTCAATGCCCGCCAAGACAACCGCGTATTGAATCTGCAAAAGGAAACTAACAAACAGCAATTGCTGCTGCTGCTGCTGCTGCTGCTGCTGCTGCTGCTGCTGCTGTTGCTGCTGCTGCTGCTGCGAAAGCAGCAGCAACAGTGTTCCCCTTCGCACCAACAGCAGCACCAGCAGCAAACGGGACACAGCAACAGCAGCAGCAGCAACAACACCTCGATCAACAGCAGCAGCAGCAGCAGCAGCAACAGCAGCAGCAGCAGCAGCAGCAGCAACAGCAGCAGCAGCAGCAAATGACCTTTCCACTGAAGCTGCCGAGGGCTCTGGTGGCCTGGGCGAGGCAAATCATTTCTTGGCGGGGATCTGCAAAATGAAAATTAAATTAAAATTAAAATTAAAATTAAAATTAAAATTAAATTAAATTTAAATTTAAATTTAAATTTAAATTTAAATTTGAAATAAATAAATAATTAAAAGAAAGTAATAAATAAAAGATAAATGAATAAATTAAAAATGAATAAAATGAAATAATGAAAAAAGAATATTTCTAAAATCAAAAATTGGAAGGTTTAAATTTCGAACTTAGAAATGAAAAAACAAAATTTAATTTAATTTAATTTAATTTAATCTAATTTGATTTAATTTGATTTGATTTAATTTAATTTAATTTAATTTAATTTAATTCAACTTTATTTTAATTAATTAATTAATTAAGTTGTAAATGTTTTATGAAGAGAGA